TACTTGAACAAAGCCACGTCAGCCCTTTTCAAGGAGAATAATCCTTCAACTTTTTAAGCTTGTAATATTTATAATAATAACAACATTTATATAACGATCAAAAAGGTAATCACACTCTCCAATGGTGGGGTGTCATGTGTCCATTATGAACACCATTATGACACCCCTAATGTACTTGTAGCACTTCCCTATATGAGTTAATTCCCATGTACTGGGAAAATTTCACAAGTCTTTATGAGGCTTCTTACATGGGGGTGGGCCCCACCCATTAATTAAAAATAGAAAAAAAAAAAAGGCCCCACTGTGCACGTGAGTCTGCAGGCTAGTAATACTTGAGCATTGCATTGACTGGGTCTGATTGGACGGCCTTAAAGAATTTCGAGGATATGACAATTTGCACAAGATCTTGACATAGCACATATAGATGATACTTGATCAAATTCTGTCAGCAGCCATGGTTTCTTGCAAGATAATCACTTTTTTCTATCTAATAATCCCTTTTGCGGCTTCATTATCCTTCAATTTCAGCAGTTTCATAACCAATGATCCTAACGTAACTTATGAAAAATCAGCTTATGCAGCAGACAATATCATCCAACTGACAAGAAATCGACGTGACGCAAGTACACTAGCAAGCGTAGGCAGGGCAACATATGCCAAGCCGATGCATCTTTGGGACAAGTCCTCGAAGAATCTCACAGATTTTACGACAACTTTCTCTTTTGTCATCAATTCGCTTAACAGAAGCGCGTATGGGGATGGGATGGTGTTTTTCCTTGCACCTGCTGGTTCCCGGATTCCAGATAATGTAACAAAAGGTAGGAGCATGGGCCTTGCGACTGATAATCAGCCACTGAACTCGACTGATAATCCGTTTGTAGCTGTAGAGTTTGATGTATACCCAAATCATTTTGATCCACCTGGTGAGCACGTTGGTATTGATATTAACTCCATGGAATCTGTTGCTAACATCACATGGTTGAGTGCTTCGAGCATTATGAAAGGTCTGAAACATGAGGCCTCGATAAACTATGATTCGGGTTCGAAAAATTTAAGTGTTGTCTTCACTGGTTATAGAAATGATAATTATATAACACAGAGATTATCTTACATAGTTGATTTAAGGCAATATTTGCCTGAATGGGTGACTTTTGGCTTTTCAGCTGCAACTGGAAATGCTTCTGCGTTGCATAGCATTTATTCCTGGAGTTTTAGCTCGACTCTGGAAGTAAATGAAACAGATCCGGGGGTAGTCGATCTAGGTCCAACTAATGGAACAGATCCCTGGACAGTAAAACCAGGTTCCAACTCGAGCAAAAACAAGATAGGATTGGTGATTGGATTTGCAGTTGGAGGGTCCGTTTTGGCAGGGGGATTGGGAATATTTGGATGCTGGAAGAAGAGACGAAGAATGTTGGGTGAAGGTGGTTCTGATTTTGATGTAGAGATCAGTGATGAGTTTGAAAGAGGCAGCGGACCGAAGAAGTTTTCATACGGTGAGTTGGCTAGAGTTACCGATAACTTCTCTCCACACGAGAAACTTGGAGAGGGAGGATTTGGTTGTGTTTACAAAGGATTCTTGAGAGAAATAAATTCGTACATTGCTGTCAAGAGAGTCTCTAGTGGTTCTCGACAGGGGATAAAGGAGTACATGTCCGAAGTAAAGATCATTAGCAGATTGAGGCATAGGAATTTGGTGCAACTCCTCGGATGGTCCCACGAGAAAAAAGAACTTCTTCTTGTTTATGAGTTTATGCCTAATGGCAGCTTGGATTTCCATCTTTTTAAAGGAAAAAACGCGTTGACATGGACGATGAGGTTCAGAATTGCCCAAGGTTTGGCCTCAGCATTGCTCTATCTACACGAGGAATGGGAACAGTGCGTAGTGCATAGGGACATAAAATCAAGCAATGTCATGTTGGATTCCAATTTCAATGCCAAACTCGGTGATTTTGGGTTAGCTCGACTAGTTGATCACGAGAAAGGATCTCACACAACAGTCTTAGCTGGGACAATGGGGTACATGGCACTCGAATGTGTAATCACGGGCAAGGCTAGTAAAGAAACTGATGTCTACAGCTTTGGTGTTGTGGCATTGGAAATTGCTTGTGGAAGAAGACCGATTGATCCCAAGGCCCAAGAGGATCAAGTGAACTTGGTCGAACGGGTTTGGGGACTTTATGGAACAGGAAAGCTACTTGAAGCAGCTGATTCAAAATTAGATTCTGATTTCAACGTGCAAGAATTGGAACACTTGATGATCGTAGGCCTTTGGTGTGCTCATCCCGATAGCGACCTTCGTCCTTCAATTAGGCAAGCATTGCTCGTACTCAAATTTGAAGCTCCGTTGCCAATTCTCCCATCGAGAATGCCCGTGCCTATGTACTGCAATCCAATTGAAAATATGCTTTCGTCTGGCACAGTCACTTCTCAAAGTCGCGACAGTCAACCACTATCTTCGATATCTAGTGATAATACGGAGTCTTCAAAGGTCACTGCGTCGTCTGGAGCATCTTCGCCATCAGCATCACTTTTGTACACCATATGATTTTGTACGAATTATTATCTTATCATTGTTTTAACGTACAATTTCGTATTTCACTTTCATCATTAGTCAAGAATACAAGAAACATGTCGATAAATAAAAAAAACTATTTAAAACTTGAAAGTAACTATTTACTTTTAAGCTCAGTTAAATATATTATGCACTCTCATATATTTTGCAGACTTGATCCATCCAAAAAAAAAAAAAAAAATCACTTGATATAAATCATATGTAAAAATAAAAATGATTTATCAAGCTTATCCCTCATTTAAGTGCAAGTTTGGGAAACATTACAAGTTCTTCATAATTAATGGTCTAAATCAAATATTAATTTTAACCAAGATTCACGACCCCATTTTTGGGGGAAAATTTTGTTTTGGAACAGTTTTTTTTTTCTTTCTTTCTTTTTTTTTTTCAGAATTTGTGATTAAAAATAAAGAAATTTTTTTGAATTTATATGTAAAATTATTTGGGAAAATTACCTCAAACCCTACATCTAAAGGTTCAACTTCAAAAATCAAATTTTAATAGTTTTGTTTTCAATAATCAGGTCATAATTATCTCTTGATTTTATATTATATACCTACAGGCTACAGTCATCCCAGTCCATTCTATCCACCCCGTACCCCATCTCCACAACTTGTAGAAAACTGTGTATAATTGCAAAAAACTTGCCGAAAATTCTCTCTCTTCAAATATAAAACCTCTCACACATCATTTAATAATGAAACTTTCTCTATCATTGCCCTCCTTACTAATGAAACCTCTCTCACATCATTTACAAATTGATGGAAGTCCATGGTAGCACTAGATGCGGTATGGTGTGTGGATGACGGAGAAAGTGGTTCGCGACCGTGATTCCCATATGTAGGAGTAATGTATTGTTCCCATTATTAATTCTACACTTCATTTGTTTTTCCTCAACTTGGAAGTAAAAATGTTGGCTCAGTCTTAAAAACCCAGTTTTGATGCTATCTTTTGATTTTTTATTTATTTTTTAGTGATCCCTGTATTTCTTTTTCTGGTTCTAGTTCTGGTTAAATCTATTTGAAGCATTTGTACGATGTAAAGTATGTCCGTACACATGCACGTATTTTGTACGTACACATTTTATTGTCTAAATATTACTTGCAGACCTGTATTTGCTTTGGGCTATCCTCTGTAAGCTCCACTTTTTTTGTGTATTTTTTCTATTTGTAGTTTTGATTATGAATTTATATGTGCTTCTTGAGCAAGAACAGAGTGACATCTGGGGAGGATCAAAGCAAAAAATCGAATAAGAAACCAAGGACATAGTTCAACTTTACACGAACAGTGATCAACAAAGCCAGGAAGAAACTAACATATAATGATGTTCAAGAAAATATACCGGAAGCTCAGTTTATCACGTTGACAAAATAAACATCAAATGTATGACTTTTGTAACCATAGTAACATTGAGAGGTTGAGAAAGATCAAACAGCAATATATGAGATCTAACCGGCGTTTTCAATTAAGCACATTGGGTTGTTTTGCTCATCATGTCTTCTGAGAAGTAGGCATTGCCAGGGACAATCCAGCACCAGTTGGTAGATCCTTCCATTGCTGAGTAACTGTCTTGATCTGTGTGTAAAACTGAACGCCTGCCTTGCCTGAAATCAACCGCGCAAAAACAAGATGAAAATATTACTGTAAGATATAACATAACATTCCAGTGTGCAAGATCAGAAACTTGAGCTTTACAGATTATATAAATTGCTTTCTCATAAAAGAAAAGGAGTATAAATATGTACTATGCATAGTGTGAAGTAAACTAGTATTTGTGGAAGAGTATTATTTACCGTAAAAATTGAGATCCCCAGCAAAAGATGCCTTGGAGCCAGTAAATGAGAAGAAGGGTAAAGGAACTGGAATGGGAACGTTGATGCCAACCTGAGGTCAGAGTAGAACCACTTCACGTCAGAAACAGAAACTTAAAACTGTAAAAATAAATATAGAGAAACAGTGGCAGAATTTTATTCATGGGAAGGAAACTATAAACAATCTGAAATTGATCCAAATTAATAAATTCTCTTGATAAAACTTCCAGTATACTGGACATGGACATACTGATGCATATTTCTAATTTTAGACTCAACCTAGACGATCCTTTTTAATTTTGCAATTAAGTTAAATATATGAAGCAACAGAGTTGGATACCTGGCCGGCCTCTATCTCAGTTTGGAATTTCCTTGCAGCTACACCGGATGTAGTAAAAAGAGCTGCACCATTCCCGTATCTGGAAATTTAGATACATGACATGAGATTCAAATAAAAAAACAAAGAAAAAGAACTTGATGATTAAAGAGATCTAAGAAATAGGGAATACTTATTTCTGTTGACTATGTTTATGGCTTCTTCTAAACTGTCAGCCTGAGATGAGCAACATGAAAAATGAAACTCTCAGCATTTGCCCATGTTCAATTCAATTGCAATGCAAGCAGGGCAATTAACTACAGATATACCTTCATGCAAATGAGAACAGGGCCAAATATCTCTTCCTGATATACCATAAGGAGAGAGATTAAATGAGCAAAAGCCATAAGATTCAAGCTACCTTTTCAAGATGGGTAGAGAGAGAAGACAAGATTGATACCTTATAACATTCCATGTCAGCAGTTACATCAGACAAGATGGTGGGCCCAATAAAGTTACCTTGTTCATATCCTGGAACCTATTATTAATAGGTGGAAGAAAAATGTGAAGTTCATTATCTCGTCTCGATGATTTCAACAAAAGTAGTGATGAGGTAGTTATTTCTGCAAGAGCTTTACCATATTTTAACGAATTAATCATCACTATGACTTTCACAGGTTATAGTTTTTCTTCTATTCTCATGACATGCATGTAAGTTTAACAACGAATTCAGTTCTATTTCCAGCTTTTGTCCTGCTGACATCTTCTATCTTTTGATAAGTAATGTGCCCAGATCAACGTGGACAACTAACTTTAATATTAATCAGTATGACCACTGCAGTATAATCCAATGCCTTTTTCACAGTCCAGGGTAATTAAATTTAATTAATGCACCCACATCACCGTCCACATCAGTTCAGAAAAATTGCCATTGTCAATAACATGTAGAAAACTTGCAGGGCTTGAGAAACAAGTCTATGCTACCTAGCACCATGTTAATCAAATTTCATTGGAAAAGTAGGTTTCTTCAATTACTGCGTTTCAACATAGCGGAAAAGGTGAGTGGAGATGGGCTTAATAACTGAAATACCTTGATAGCTCTTCCATCCAGTAAGAGTTTTGCCCCGCTGCCAACACCACTTTGAACCAATTTACATATTCGTTCCTTTGCCTACGAATGTAGGGGAAGAAACGTGATAAAACAGCCCTCAAATAACAAATATACATCTAAAATGAGGAAGTATCATGAACCACTCAGTGGTTAAAAACAATGCCGATTAGGTTCCAGCAGACGTAATACTACTTTTGGACTCTGTTCATACCTGCTTACTGATGACTGGACCGAGGTCTGCATCAGGATCTGTTCCAATATTTACCTTAAGGGCTTTGGCACGCTCTACTAGCTTTTGTTCCCTACAAAGGTTCAAATAAGTTACAGAAATCTGCAATATCTTTGAAAAGGAAATAGTGCAGGTAGTAATCTTATGATAATATGTTTTCCTTCCCAGAATAGAGGGCAAAAGAATATGCATTATATGGTCTTCACTAATTAAAATTAAAGCACTGTATAACACGAGGCAGATAATCATAAACTATCTTTTATTGGCAATATACTTCCATTCTGAGATTCAAGAAAGTAAATTTATGCTATTGTTAAAGGAAGGAAAGATAGGAATGAAAGCAAACAGCACTCGTGTGGGATACAACAAACAAGGAGAATACCATGATTTTGAATCTCCAACGAAGACCACCGTGCTCAGTGCCATGCACCTTTGTCCTGCAGCACCAAAACCAGCTGCAACTAGAGCATTTAGTGTAGCATCCACATTTGCATCAGGCAATACGATTCCATGGTTCTTTGCTCCCATGTTGGACTGAAAGGATTTTATAGTAAGTAATCAAATTTTTAAGCTTCACATAGAGAACGCTAGATACAAAATATATCTGTTTGTAAGTTTGTAACGAAAACTGAATCCTGGTTATGTAGAATACAGCTATTGCACTGACCTGGACACGTTTTCCACTAGCTGATGCTCTTCCATAAATATGCATACCAGCCTAAAGACATAAAAAGCCCTTAATCCAGTGCACAAAGATGAAAGAATATCAAATGCAAGAAAAATTGGTTATCCAGGAAAAAAAAAAGAAAAAAAGAAAGATGAAAGGGCTTTGTTTTCTAGCTAATTTGTACCCTCAAAATGGAGAACAATAAGTTGGTACAAAAGTAAACACTGGCAAAGAAGCAATGATCTTAACTATGGGAATTGATAAATCAATAATTCTTGGATGACCAGATGATAATGAAGGTTGTTTTGGATGTTGATTGTGGTCAAGATAATCAGATAAAAAATATAGAACAGGGCCTTGATGGAAGATTATGTTTTTGTGCCCGACCTTGCATGTCTAAACTATTATATGAATTTGCATGTCTTTGATCCTAGTAGGAACATCAAACTTTCATAGAGGAGAACGTAAAGGAGGACGTCTAGTGGCAGGGTGTCTCCTCTTTCATCTTCTTCCCACCTTAGTAGCATCAACTGGTATGACCACGTTTGGAGAGATCATGAGTCTTAGACATGGAACCTCTTTGACAGAGACTCACTCTCTCCCCAGCCCCCAATAAAGTCAATCACGGCGGTCAAGTTGAAATAGAAGGAATTAAGAACATGTAACATTACTTACTGTATTTGAGCCAACGAATGATACAGCTCTAATATCATCATCATCACATATAGCATTAACAGTGTCCTGAAAGAGAACAATAAAGTTGAATCATGAAAGATACAGAATAAAAGCTATATATACGTCATAGATACAGAATGGATGAATTACCCTTAAAAAGGTTCTTTCTTGGATTTGAAATGATTACTGGTGACATTAAAGAAAAAAAAAAGTGGAAGTAAATGATTGAATGAGAAAAACATACATTGGTGCCATGTACAATATTCAGGACACCACTGGGCAAACCAGCCTCCATGGCCAACTCAGCAAGAATCAAAGAAGCCCCTGAAACAAAATAAGGTGTAAATTTAGGACCTATTTGAGCTCCATTCTTTTGCCAAAATGCATTTTGGAATAGTGATTTGATGGAGAATATGTGGTTAAAAAATAAGAAAAAGTTTTGGGTTTGCATGTAATATTATTTTATTGAAGAATGTGTTGTTGAAAAGAAGAGAGAGAAAAATGTATTTTGAAATTAATGAGGATCAAACATGCTCTAAGTAAATTCTAAGAAAACCAAATACCAAAATGCCGTTGAAATTAACTGTAAATTTTCTTGTTTGATGTCGAAGGATTAAAATATCTTGTGTATATCTGATGATCTCGTATCAACAGCCAAGTTAACAAAAATTAACAAATAATTACCAATAAAACAAGGTTAGACTAACCCATCAATGTAAAAAGAGGTGAATGAAATACTGATCATGTCGAGGATTTTCAGATGGATAAACTTATCGAGAAGCCAGCGTTTAACGCACGAGCGAATGTGGTCATAGAGTGAAGAGAACACTATAGTGTTTTAAATAAATGAATATAATTGTCAAGGTTGGAGGTTATTGCAGAATTATTCATAAAATTGTCATTTGCAATGTCAAAAATGCAGGATAAAGAATGCATTGATAATCTCTTCACAGAATACTTCATGATCACTTGAAATAAGTTGCCAGTTTGCTATACATATAGATAAAGATGTAACTAAACAAGCAGTGAGATGCCAAATAGATAATATTCGTCAAACTAAAAGGCAAAATATGAACGCCTGTCAATGTGTAGAGACTACAGCCTACATGATGTGCTGGTCTAAGATTATATACTTGAAGGCCTATCCTACTAAGGCCCAAAAAGGAGAAGTAAATTGTTTAAAGCTCCTCACATTTTACATGTGACAAACTCATATCAGCTAAGGATAACATAGTCTTAGCCAGTAATGATCCTAATTAATTATTTTGATCCAGATGCCAGATAATAAAACATTAGAAAGCAAACAACTGATTCAGTAATACACCAGATTACTTGAAAAAAATAAGTCACCTGGATCTTTTTCAGATGGCTTTAGGATGAAGGTATTTCCACATGTAACTGCAACAGGAAACATCTGCATGAAGTTGCACGTGAGATTAGAAAGAGAGAATTTCTTGTACTAGATTGATTTGCTAGAGCATCAAAATGATTTTCCCTCACCAAACAAAGAGAAGAAAAATATGATATGGTAAGAATGAAAGGTAAGAAAAGAAAAGAACATTGATAGATCTGAATTAGATTGAAAGCACTTTAGAAGAATAAAAGAAAGCTGATTTACCCATAAGGGAATCATGGCAGGGAAGTTAAAGGGACAAATCCCAGCACAAACACCAAGAGGTTCTCTAATGCTATAGGTATCAATTCCGCTTGACACATTGGAAACATACTCTCCCATCTGCAGTGTCGCCATCCCGCAAGCATGTTCCACCACCTCTTCAAGAAAATACACACAATAATTAAGAACTAAACTGCAATGATTATAGACTTACACGCACACAAGCAGCATGCACATATTTTATAGAGGTACTAACCTAGCCCACGGAACACATCACCCTGTGCATCCTTAAGTGTCTTCCCTTGTTCAGTGGTAATGCTCAAGGCAAGCTTATCCTAGAATGATAATTATTATAATACTAATCAGTATTAATCACAAGCAGAATAAAATCCAATTATATCAAAACATTTCAACGTGCTAACCATGTTTTTACGAATAAGATCTTGCAGCTTAAACATAACACGTTGCCGTGCCGTTATTGGTGTGCTGCGCCAGGATGGAAAGGCCTGTTTTGCAGCTGATACTGCAGACTTGAACTCCTCTTTTGTAGTTAATGGTACTTGAGAAACTACCTCTTGTGTTGCCTTTGATATCAACCAATCAAAGAAAATAAACACAGAAGAAATACTACAAAGAAATTGAATTGTTATGACATTTCATTTACTTACCGGATTCAAGACATCAATTAATTCTGATGACTGTGAATCTACAAAGCTACCACCAATAAGATTTGGCACTCTCTGAAATAAAAAGATCAGTGCAATTATACCCCAAAAGAAAATTAATAAAAATTATACATTTCTGTAGTTTATTTTTATTCTTTTATTTTATATTCATGGGCTTTATCTTTAACAATTTTCAGCACCCTTTTGTTTATTATATTCTTCTACAAAACACTAAAATGAGCTTAATTGGAATTCCCAAAGCAGACACATAACATAAAATTCAAGAATTCACATTATGCATTTTCAACTTCTTTATTCTCAGAAAAAAAGAATAAAAAATTGGAAACCAACTATTACTGTATCAAAACAAATTAGAATAGAAAGAATACTCACAAGCGAATTTCCATGTCTCCAAGACGGTTCAGCAGCAGTTGAAAACTGAGAATTTGCAAGCGCAAATATCCGAGGACTCAACAGCCTCACTTTACTCACTAAAGAAACACCAAAAACGCAAATATAAACACACGTAAACAATAATCAAATCAAGATTAGGGCTCCAAGCTGCAACTTTATCAACGAATTCGCTGTAACGTATAAGATACCCATATTCATCAAATGATCGAATAAACAACAAAATTATAGACACGCTCAAGAATTAAAGTGAGTACCTCGTTGAAGTGAAAGCTGCAGCACCATCGCGAATAATTGATGAAACAGTAATCTCGATGCAATCCTTTGGATGTATGATATACTGCGTC